ACACTTCTTTGCACTCTAACTGCAATTGTCCGAAAAGAAAGTCCAGCTTCCCGAAGTCCCACTATACGCCCCCTATCAAACTCACTAAGTTGACGAAATCGTACAGGTCTCCGTATTCTAGGCATCGTAACCGATCGTAAAGGATGTCAAGAACCAAAATCCGCCAACGTTGATTCTTTACTGCGGCTGAAATATTCATTTTTAGAGCGTTAGTGAATTAAAAAAAGCAGTATAAAAACCGGAATGTCCAACTGATAAGGCTGAAAATTTTTTCGCTTGTTATTTACAGTAAGATAAATACATTCACCAACTTTTATTAAAATAAAGCCATTTAAACTGGGTGTTCGAATTTATATGTCACTTAGTATATATGGCAAGGTACACATTTCACATTTTTGGTGTCATTTATAGGCCTCCTAAAGGCAATATCACTTTCTCAATACGATGGATGAGTCTCTTTCTCAAATGATTCCTAGCTGTGAAGAAATTTGTATTACTGGATACTTCAATATCGATTTTCTCACCCAAGGCACAGCTGTTCAGAAATTGAATAAATTGTTTGATCTGTGTAACTTGAAACAAATAGTCGATGTCCCTACTAGAATAAATCCTACCTTACAGACATTGTTAGTTTCGTGCCACATCTTTGAGAAAAACTTGATTTCAAATCCGCCAAGAGTGATTACGGCCCGCTCCTGGAAGCATTTCAATAATGAATCATTAATAATATGCTGCATTTTATTAATTGGGATACAATTTATACCTTCAACAATGTCAATTTATTGGTCGAATTCTTAACTAGAGAATTAATACGTCTTTTCTATATGTGTTGCCCTGTATATGAATTTAGAGTCACCAGAAACTTTACACCTTGGATCATGGATACCCTAGATCATAATATATTGTGCATGAAGCTGAAGTACTTTGGACTTGCAGATAATGCGGTAAATTTAATAAGAGACTACTTAACTAGTAGGTACCAATACGTATCGGTAAACACTTCATCTTCTGACAAAAGAATGATTACAATGGGTGTACCACAAGGGTCCATATTAGGCCCTTTACTATTTTCTTTATATATTTCAGACTTCCATAACTACGTAAAAACTTGTAAAATACATCACTATGCGGATGATACACAATTGTACTTCAGTTTTCAGATTGATCACATTTTGAACTCCTACTCTTTGATTAAGGACGATATTAATATGTTATACAATATATCAATTGCACATAATCTAAGCCTTAATGCCAATAAATCAAAGGCAATGCTGTTTGGATCTAAACAAAAACGTATGATTTCTGAACGTTCGTTTAATCTGAACATTAATAACATACCATTACCTGTAGTGGGTGAGAGCGAAAATTTGGGATTGTGGTTTGATTCAGATCTGCGATTTAGTGTCCATGTCAATAAAATTTCCTCCTCAGCCTATAGTATGCTTAAGCAATTATATCCACAGCGTCGTGTTTTAAATAGTAGCTTGAAAATGGAGTTATGTGATGCCCTTATAATTTCTCGCCTATCTTACTGTGACAGCATATATGCCCCGGCTCTTTTGAAAAATGATTGTTTAAAATTACAGCGAGTACCAAATTCGTGTCTGCGCTTCTATTTTAGTATAAGAAAGTTTGATCACATAAGCCGTATATTCAAACAACACAACATTCTAAGTTTAGATAGATTGAGAAAATTGCATTTCCTATCACTAATCCACAAAGTTCTCGTAAACAAAAAGCCGGAATACCTTTTAGATAGGATTTCAAAGTTTGTAAATATCAATACTTTATATACTAGAAATAGGCGAATGATCGTTATACCACCTCACTCAACATCAAATTTTAAACGCAGCTTTTCATATAACGCAGCTAAACTATGCAATTGTCTCCCAAATGATTTTTATGACTTCTCTTTAATGAACTTTAAGAAATAGCTGAAGAATTTGTATCTCTCTGAAGTGTCAAGGATCCTATATGCCCACTACTTTCCTACTTGTCCCTCTTTCATTCATGTTCTATTAATTGTTGATACAAAATACTTTTTCGTTACCTTCAAAAATGTATTATGATTTGCTGATAGGATGTTGGTAGCTACACCAGCAACAAAAGACTTTTAATCCTACGTTCCGTTGAGAAAGTTATGGTAGTTAAATGGATGAGCTGAAACTCACTACATTTTTTCTTTTTTTTATGGTTAGTTCCTTTCTCTTAGGCACTAGGTACACCTTACAGAACAGTTATTATGACTATAATTGATACTTATGTTTATCTTTATTATTGTATGATATGTATATGTGCATGATACAGATACAATTTTTTTTTGAGGTTGAGTTGACAAGCACACTCCACCTTTTCAATTTTGCACTTTTGCTGTTCTCAAGATATTATTCTATTGTTTATTTTGTGTATGCAAAGTTGAATAAAGGCACATTATTATTATTATTAAATAGGTTGCCATTAATTTCGAAACATCAATATGTTCTTCAGGATCCAAAGATCACGTAACATTTCTGGTGTAAGCATACTAAAAGCTGCCATTACACATTCTCGTAACTGCTGCTCAGTTTCAAAAGTATGTTGATAAACTAGGTTCTTAGTGAAACGGGTAATTCGATTTTTCCAGGTTTTCCGGGCTTCCCCTATGTATCTTAAAAATATTCAAACATGGACAATTAGAACATTTGGCGTAACTCACTGTTCAAGTATAATTCTCAATAGTGCTTAAGTTGTATGCCATTAACCTGACAAAACGTAAGTCTATAACAGTTTTTCTACGGTTTTTTCATTGTTATTAATAAACTGTAATGGATATTCGAAATTTCAGTCTTTCAGAACTCGAATACTATATTAAAAACAAAAAGTACTTTAGAACTGTTTTCTTTGTCGATTATACAATTTTTATTGCCTAACGAAGAATTCAAAATGTGGGACTCACAAAGTCATTGCAATGACAGATTCAAATCTTTCCACTGCTAATAATCCTGGAATGTTTCTGAATTTAAACATACATATTTTAGTGGTTTTTAGAATTTCATTATTAAAACCATGCTCCGAACGCCCTGTATATGATATCCAAAAATACAGATTCGTTTGTGTAGTAAAATCGACGTACGTGAATTATCTGACCGAGTCAGTCTACTTGCTTTTTAAAAAGATTTATTCTCGATTATCAAAAATACAATTTTATTGATGTATGTAGTATGAGCGCTAACAACAGACTGACTAACTCTGAATACAATAAAATAATACTGGATGAGGCAAAGCGCTGATCCAGGGAAACTCGATCCTCTTCTTCAGTGGTAGGGGTAAATCTTCTGTACTATAACGCCTCCCCTTGTAGATGCAACTTCGAGGGTTAACGAGGAAGTTGCACATTGGAAAGATCAACTTCTTCAATAGGGGTTCTTTGTGGTTTCTTCGGCTTAGTAAAAATCTTCGGAATGATCTTCTTGTAGACAAAACAGCAAAGTAGCAGCAGCAGTACTCCATACAACAGGATTTTCCAAGAACTGGGAATGTGCGACACCTTATGTGAATGGATGTCAACACGATTTTCTATTAATCTTCTTTTTACTTTGTGAACTTCATCAAATTCTATTTGGTCTAGATGAAGGCTGAAGTCATTCGACTTGGTAGCAATTGAAGTGTTGCTATCGATATTTGGAAAAATAATTGGTTGACTTCCAATCGATATAGGTTCTTGATTGGCGATCAGGTCTTGATTTAGTTCCAGTGTACAACCGACTGGAATTTCGGCTAAGTAGGATCCCAAAACTTTGACTGTTTCTTGGCCTTCTTGACAGCTTAATGTAATGGTGGTTTCATTGGGTATAAGCAAGATCCATTGTCAGAAATCATGCAGTTTCTTCATTACTGGCTCTGTGATTACGGCTTCTACTTCTTGGCAGGTAGTGGGAGTTTTTTGTACCAGGAGTTGAACTTCACAGGGATTGGATTCTTTGATTCTTCTTGAATCTAGTTCTTTGCAAACGTACTGTTTTGCGACCGTTTCCGTGCATGCGTCTCCCGCAAAAGCGAAGTACAACTCATTCTTTACAAGATATTTTCCAGAAGGGATGACTACTTTGAACAGACCCTTATGAAAGGTTGGAATTGAATATAAGTGATAATAATCAAATTGGAATGTATGAACAATTGGAATTTGAAGAATGTATGTTATTTTTCTATCAACTGTATAACAGCTGATTTTAATGAGCTTTTCAAAAATCGGGATATTATCCAAAGTAACTTCTAAAGGGAGTTGCTTTGTGGATAGTTTTAATGCCACTGAATTTAGTGCTTGAAGTAAATGTTTTGGTTTGATTACACTGGGGTGCATAATTCCCAATTTTGCAAAAGTAAGTGAGTTTTCTATATCCTGGAGCACTGAAATTATGATATGATAGATATTCATGATCTCTGAGATTGTATCTCTCAAGAAAATGCCATTTTCTATGTAGGCTTGTGTGTTAATCATAGCTGTTGAAAGCTGATTTATTTTAGCTTCCAATAGCTTTTGGTTATGAGTAATCTGACTTACAGTTTTATTGAAATTATCGATAAGTTCGACAGATAAGGTATTCTGACTATTGATAGCTTCTGATAACTTGTTTTGATCATTCTGCAAATCGCTTATTAGAGACTCGAATTTTTCACCATCTGAAGCATCCAGGTTTCCTGTGATTGCTTTGAAAATTGAACCTAAGCCGTTTATTAATCCCCTTTTTAGTCTAACAGAAAATGATGGAACAGTTTCGTAAGTAGAGGGAAAAATGTCATTTAGCTTTCCGTCTACTTTTCTTTCTAAGAAATGCAAAACATTGAGGTAATTTGCTGAGTGTTTATAGTGCTCAATATATTTCCTGGATAATGCCGCAACATTTTCGGTTTTTTTCTTAAGGTCATTAACTTCAGTGATTATTAAATTGACGTCGTAAAAATACAGTATTGAGTGACAATTTTTTGTAATTTTGGCGGTCCCTAATTTCATGGGTATCAACCCTAGGTTATTTTCTAAATTCTTCAACGTTATCGTACCATGGATTCCTATGATTCCTGGGAACCTGTAAAATAATATATTCGAAAGAAAATCTTATTTTTAGCGTGCAATTAAGAGTAAAGTAAACGTAGATTACATACATAGTTTCTTATCTAATTGCTCGAGGCTTAGTCAAACGAATAAAGTTTGCGTAGCGGACGTTTCAAATTACTTATATGCACTTTTCCGTGCTGGTCCGTCGCGACGGTCTTTTTCTTCGTATTAACACTTTGTAGTCTACACGGCTTTGAGAATTTGTTGGCGTGCTTTTTTCTAACATGCTTTTTGACGTATACTGTTTCTCGGTTATCAAGTATAGTCGGACTATCGCAATCTCTGTTAATGCGTTCTAGCGTCTTTTCTTTGTTTTGAATGAGATCAGAATTTATTTTTGAATACAATAATTTTGTACGCTCTTTGTGGCTGTTGGTATAGTCATTGAGGAGTAATTGGTCGATTTTGATATCGAATGGTTCATTCGACGTAATATGTCCATTGATTATATCTATAGGCTTTAATTTTGTTACAGAATGTAAGGTGTGGTTGTAGGCTAAAACGGCATACAACATTTTCATTTTTATAGGGGTTTTCTGAAAGCCTTCTGTGTTCAACAATCTTAAATGTTCGGTGATAGTTGAATGAAATCGTTCAACGACTCCATTAGAATCTGGATGATTTGGCGAAATAAAATGAAGCTTAATTTTGTGAAGTGACAAAAGTTCAGTTACAACGGTATTTTTGAATTCAGTACCATTATCTGCGATAATTCGGGTAGGAATTCCATGATGAGAAAAGAATAATATCAGATTATCAGCAATTTCAGTTCCTGAAAGCGAAGTAATCTGATATGCTTGAGCATATTTAGAAAGACTGTCTATAATTGTGAGAAATTTTGAACCTTCAAAAGTGAAAGTATCGATATGTACGATTTCAAAAGGTTTTGATGCAGTGGGGGTGAGATTCATCGCAATTTTTATCGGATGACGCTCATATTTACATTGTTGACAAATTTCACATTCATTTATAAATGTTTGGATTGATTTTTTCAAGTTAGGCCAAAAATATTTTTCTTTTATTCTCTGATGCGTTTCCTCAATTCCACGATGATTCGACTTGCTTTCGTGGTAATTCCGGATAATGTCCTTGATATCAGTTTTATCTGTAACGTCGACTAATTTGGTTCTACACATTTTGAATTTCAAAGCATCTGACTTAAACATCCTTTGTAGAACAACAGAAAATTTTTCATATATATCTGGATTTTCAAAGTATAAGTGATAAATGACGTTAGGAGCAATATAATCTCGAATAAATTTAAATACATCATCGTCAAAATCATTTTCTGAAAATTGTACGTTAATTCGTTGCTTGCTTTCAAATAAAATAGAAATTTTTGGTGGTGCAGGTGAATGTTTTACTGTACTTATGATAATCTGATTATTTCCCTGATTAACTGCGTAATCAACTATAGGAATTGTCTGAATGGGGTGTTGGTCCGCATTTGAATGTACAGTTTCGTCTGGATTTTCAGGACGATTATTTTGATATTCTAGATTGACTTGTTCATGTTCAATGATATCTACAATTTCGTCCAGGGGTTGAATAAAAAGACTGTGTTCGTCATTATCGACGTTTACGAACATAGATTCGGTATCAGGTTGTTTTGGGGTAGAAAAGTTAAATGTAGGTGTACTTAATTCAGATGAGCCTTTCTGAACTGGTCGGTCAAACTTAACGTTTTGGTGTTGAGTACCTGCGCATTCTTGAATCAAATCATCTAAGTCGTTCCAAAATGAACTGGTTTCTTTTGTATGGATCTCTACACGAGACAGGGCATCTGCATTTGTATTCAGTTTGCCTTTCTTATAGATGATATTCATATCATACTCGTCTAACCTGATTTTCCATCTTAGTAATTTTGAAGAAGGGTCTCGAAGGGACCATAAGTATTTTAAGGGCATATGATCAGTAATTAGATTGAATTTTCTCCCGTAAAGATAGGGTCTAAAGTATTTAGTCGCCCAGACTATTGCTAGTAATTCTTTCTCAATCGTACTATAATTTCGTTCGGAATCATTAAGTGTGCGCGAAGCATAGGCGATAGGAAGATCCTGTCCTATAGGGCCTTGTGAAAGTACACAACCAAGGGCTACGTTGCTCGCATCCGTGGTTAAGTTAAATGGCTTAAAAAAGTCTGGATACTTGAGTATCGGTTCATTGATAAGAACATTTTTACATTTTTCGAAACAGTCAATAAATTCTGCATCGTGTTCAATTTTGGCTCCCTTTTTTAGACATTTAGTTAGAGGCTTTGTGAGTTTCGCAAAATCTTTAATAAAACGTCTATAGTAACCAATAAGTCCGAGAAAGCTTTTAATCTGCTTAGTCGTTTTTGGAATCGGAAATTTTTGGATGGCAATAATTTTATGTGGATTTGGCTTAACGCCGTCTGGTGTGACTACATGTCCGAGATAAGCTACTTCTTTACGAAGGAATTCTGATTTATCGAGCTGTATTTTAAATTTTGAAGTTCTGAGTCGTTGGAAAACTGACCTTAAATTTTCAATATGTTCTTGAAGGGATGTAGAAAAAATTATAATGTCGTCGAGATATACGAGACATTTCTCGTTTTGTACCCCTCTTAAAATATTATCCATGACGCGTTGGAATGTGGCGGGCGCGTTTTTTAGGCCAAAAGGCATCCGGAGAAACTCCCAATGCCCATTTTCGGTACTAAAGGCGGTTTTTTCTATGTCTGTTTCCTCCATCTCGATTTGATGGAAACCACTCGCTAAGTCAAGGGTAGTAAAATACTGGCATCTGCCAAGTTTGTCTAGCAAGTCGTTGATATTGGGTAATGGATATTTATCGTCAATAGTCTGTTCATTTAAACTTCGGTAGTCAATTACAACTCTCCATTTTTGCTTCCCCGAAACGTCTAGCTTCTTTGGAATGACCCAGATAGGTGAATTATAACCTGAGCTACTTGGACGTATTATATTGGAATCCAACATTTTTTGTATTTGGCTATTTACTTCGCCTCTGTGAACAAATGGATAGCGATACGATTTTGTGTAAATGGGCCTTTCGTTTTTGGTTTTTATTTGATGTTTGACTTTATTAGTAAATGTTAGTGGAGTTCCGTCCTGGTAAAAAATGTCTGAAAACTCTCTGCAAAGTTGAAGTATCCCTGATTTCTCTTCAGAATTTAGGTGATCAATTCTGATTTTCGACAAATCTAGGTCAAATTTTTGTGACGTGTCTAAATAATTGAGATCAATTTCTGGCATTTCTGATAAATTAAATGATTCTACTGAAATCGGCTGAGAAAAATTTAATGTAACAGGCTTAGTAGTGTTATTCAAAATCGTTGTCAACGCAAAATTATTTTTTGCTATCGTAAGGCATTCAGGTATCTCGCAATTATGAAATTTTTGATGAGGAATAACGATTTCACCATTGGCGATCGATGTTTTGATTTTTATTACTTGTTCGGTTCGAGGTGCGACGGTTATCAAATTCAAGTCGTTAGAAAGCTGGTGAAATTTTAGTCTAATTTTGGCGTAGGGCGTATGTAAAGTTCCTTTGCTTAAATTAATATCGGCTCTCAATAATTTTAGATTATCTAATCCAATCAATCCATCGAAAATATTGTGAAATTTAAATAGGTAAAACTTCAAATCTATACGATTAGGAAGATTGAAAATTTTCGATGCCGGGATGGATGCACTATATTTGTGAGCGGATTTTTGAAAAACAGTTGATACAACGAATGGATCATCTCTGATTAAATTTGGAAAAAATTTACGAGCAATACTGGGATCAATAAATGACTTAGTTGATCCAGAATCGATCAACATTTTAATTCCATATTCGGGAAAAAGAATGTAGGATAGTTCGCTAGCATTGCTGGCGTTAAGTGAAATTACTTCTGGTGCTAGGTCTTGTGTTCTATGAATGAGTCCTTCTGAAAATTTTGAGGTGGTTTTACGTGATTAGTTTCAGGAATATCTTGTGTATAATACTCGCAATACTGATCAGTGAAATATGTATCTGAATTTTGTGGTTCAGCTACAGTTTGATCGCAAACAAAAGATTCGTTACCGGGAACTTCATAGGTGTTATTGCTTTCTATCTCTGTATTGAATAGCTCTTCAGCGATCCAATTTGGTTTTGGTTGTTGCTGGGCTGTCGAATTATGTTCAGGTTTGAAAGAAATTCTAGTAGAAGTACTCATTGGAGTAGTTTGTGGTAAAGTACGGTTAGGGTTAGGTTTGAAAACGTTTCTGTTATTCTGTGTTTGTCTAAAAACTTGAGAATTCGTCGGAAATCTCTGAGGACGATAAACTGGTCTTGGCAAATTTACAGGTCCAGTCGGAAAAGTCGAATTGAACCTAGGTTGAAATGTTGAAGTGTTCGGCTGACTGAATAAATAATTAGTAGGCTGAAAGTATGAAGGTCTATTTTGACTTATCATTGGCCTTTGCATTGACCTGGAAGTTTGATTCTGGGGCACATTTTGTGATTTTCCAAAATTTTTGTTATAATTTTGGAAATAGCTGACATTGTCTTCAGATATAACGAATTGTAAAGCTTGGCTGAGAGATGTGGGTTTCATACATCTAATTGTTGTACCCAAGGGCTCTCGTAGTCCGCACAAAAATGTTTTCAGAGCTAATTCTTGATATAAATTTCTTTTTAACACTTTTGCTTCTTCAGAATGTTCATGTACGTTTACATGGCTGCATAGCAGATTCAAAATATGAAGACACTTATCATAAAATTTTTGAGGCGTTTCATTTGGCATTTGCCTCAACATAACCAAATCACGATTTAGACAAGTTTCATCTCTTTGATCAGAAAAATTCCTAGTCAGAATGTCTTTTAAATCTGCCCAACTTGTGATATTTTGTATATTCACAAGCACTTTAGCATTTCCTTTTAATTTCGAGATCAGTGAATTTAGCAAATAGATATTTTGGAAATTATGTGGGTTCCGTATATCATAAAAATTTGCAATTAATG